ACTGAATGAAACACTCTATTCATAGCTGAGTGCTCTCCCGTCCACTGAAGAAATATGGAGCAAAAATAGGTGGAGAAGGGTTTAACCACAAAAGAAACATTAATATAAGCCATCAAGTGTTTTGTTTGAGAAAATGATTGTATACACTATTGTTACTGCTGCTGTTAAGGTCGTCTCCTCTGAAGAGTTTTAATTTGCCTCTGAAAACACATTTGACTTGAAGGATAGGAAAGAGAAGGACTAGGAAAAGCTTTTCTTAAACACAGAATCCAAGAACTTGCAGAAGTCTATTGTTTTGAAAGATTTTGTGGTTTCTGAAAGCACACTGGGGTTTAGATAACTGAATCACTGCAGAATCAGGAAGCAGCCAATGTTTCTGTACCTCTGAAAGGAGAAAATTGGGCCAATGGACTATTTTTCTGCACATCTGGCATGGCACAGCCCTTTGCAAGGAGATGGGAATGGGAAGACCTTCAGATCTAGTGGCCAAGTGGGATAACTTTGCAAGGATCTTTGATTTGCCTAAACTGACCTTAGTGCTGCTGGCACCTAAATGACATTAATTATTCCCTTTACTTTTATGTAAGGTTTTTCACATTCAGTGACTCAAGAGGAAAAAAAAAGGAGGAAAAGAGTAAAGAAAAGATAAAGAAAAGGTGATTTTGAAGCCATAAAAGATGGCTTAAGAGAACCTATGCCAGACAAATTAGTTTTTCCTTGAGAGACTGTGTTTCAGACTTACAGTATTCTTTCAAGTGATGGGAAGCTTTCTTTTTCCACAGATGTTCAGTTTGATATTTGCACATTGGCTGTAGCCGTGCTCTAATTAATTTCAGATATTTCAAAACAATGGTTTCTCATAAAGGACCATTTAGGGTCTGTGTTTCACATTTAAAATTATAATCATTGTTGAGCCTGTAACATAAAACCTATGCTTAAAAGTGTGTAATGAAAATAGTATTTTTCTTCATCTCTGGCCTACGATGTAGCTGGCAGGATTATTTTTTTTTCTCTGGTGATATTGCTTTAGGATGGAGACAAAGCCTAAACATTTTCCCTTTTCTTGGATTTTCTCACACAAATCTGAACATCTGAAAACAATGATTTGTCATGGGAGACATTTGGCAGCCTGAGGAAAGGTTTACTGTTTCTACTTTTCCTAAAATATTTACAAAGTAAAATATCTGACATTCACAGTAAGTCAGACAATGTTTCAGGCCTCTAACATAATCCGTGGAGGCAGCCTGAGTGGTCTCTCCAAGACGAGGAAAGAAGATCCCCTTTCTAGACAGTTTCTTGGTTCAGTGCAGAAACACTGGCTCCAGAGGAAGACAGGGAGAGTTAAATAAAGTGGGATGAAAACACCGAGGGGTTGCAGAGGTCTGTTTTTGCAGCTTGATCAGCTCTTCACTTTCCCCAGCCATTCTTGAGAGCCCCGAGGGTTCCCGGTGTAACCCACTGGAGTGGGTTAGCACAGGGAAAGGGGATCCTCGCTACCACCTTCGCTCCCTCCGTCCCCAAGTCTCCCCCCCGCCCAGAAACCCTCATCCCACCGCGAAGTGAATGGATGGGGGACGCGGGGGAAGCACACAGCTCCCCGTCTGCCTCCTCTCCTTGTGCCCCACTCACTTTTCCCCTCTGGGAAGGTGCCTCCAGCTCCGGAGCCCCGGGGTTCCGAGGGCTTCAGGAACTCCTCTGGGAGGAGAGGAGGAAGAGGAGGAGGAGGAAGGCGGGGGGGGGGGGGGAGGGGACGGGATAGGATGGGAAGGAGGGAAGGGGGTGGTTTCTGCATCCTCTGCTTTCTTCCCAGCTCCGAGATCGAGCAGCTTTGGCCAGTCGGTTTGCATCAGGGCTCCGTCAGGCGTGGGGTGGGAGAGGAAGGAGAAGGGCTGAAGGGTCTTTTCTTTTTAGAAAAATATTCTATTTTCTTTCTCATAGTGGGAAAATAAAATTAAAAAAAAAAAAAAAAGACAAAAGAAAGATGTGCCAGTAGCAAGGCTGAGTTAGCCCCGGGGTTAGCTCTTCGTTGCTTTTTTGCTTCTTGGTGGTGCCTATAGTTGTCGGTAGGCAGAGAGCACCCCCACCATCCCGCCTTACCCCCTCCACAAATTTCTGGTCCTACTGTCTCCTCCTCCCCAGGAGGGTTGGTCAGCAATTCAGCTGGACCCTCAGCACAGCGAGTGTCCCGATGGGAAGAGACAGGTCCAACTTACACTCTCGGGGTTGTCTTGCTGGCACCCAGGGCAGTCATGACTGTAAGGAGATGCTCTTCAGCAGAGCATGGATCTCCAAAGGTTGGGGCAGCAGAATCACCCCTTCACATTCTTTACCAGGAGCAGTTGTTTCATCTCCAGTGGACAAGAATGAAGAGATGATGGAGAAGCAAGACCAGGGCTGCAGAGGTGGCTCCTGCTCCATCAGGTGTCACCCCTTCTGCCTGAAGCCAAGGCAGGGAATGAGTGAGGACAGATGAGGTCCAGAGAACAATAAGGCTGGTGAAGGGACTCGAGCACAAGTTCTAGGAGGAGAGGCTGAGGGAGCTGGGGTTGTTTAGCCTGGAGAAGAGGAGTCTCAGGGGAGACCTCATCACTCGCTACAACTCCCTGAAAGGAGGTTGTAGCCAGGTGGGGGTTGGTCCCTTTTCCCAGGCAGCTATCAGTAAGACAAGAGGGCACAGTCTTAAGCTCTGCCAGGGGAGGCTTAGGTTGGATATTAAGACAAAATTCTTTACAGAGAGAGTAATCAGGCACTGGAATGGGCTGCCCAGGGAAGTGGTGGATTCTCCATCCCTGGAGGTTTTTAAGATGAGACTGGATGTGACACTCAGTGCCATGGTCTAGTAACCATGGCAGTGTTGGATCAAGGGTTGGACTTGATGACCTCAGAGATCCTTTCCAAGCCAGCTGATTCTATGATTATTTAAAGCTGGAAAGTGGGAGTGGATGGTGAAGGATAGAGGGGCAACTTCAGTTTGACTGTGATGCCTGGACATTTACAAGTTCATCATTTGTCTTTGAGGGTGGTCTGGAGATAAGGAGATACCCAACGCTGTGAGGTATGTCCTGTCCTCCTTTCCAGATGATTAGGATGGTGGCAGGTTGGTCTCCCACTTCTTCATCCAGAAAAGAGAATTGGTGAAAAGGACAGGACAAGTCCAGAGAGATTCCTGCCTTATGCACATATCCTCAAAGGGCTTGTCTGCAGCCTGAAGAGGCTAAGACTGTGTATGGAGAGGGAACAGTGCCCTAATCGTGTGTCTCACACAACCCTCTTATGTTTGGAAGAGCAAAAGAGGCTTTTTTGAATCAATGTGGGAGACATTCAATGTAAAGTGTTCTCCTTTAGTCACAACATTTTGCAGAGGAAGTGTGTATCATCTCAGCAGTGAGACTGCACATGGCAAGGCAGAGAAGGCCAGGCTGGCAAAAACAGGAACTGCAAAGCTTTTGTGTGAAATTACATCAAACCCCCTCAATAATATGCCTGCAACTCTTTATAGTTCCTGTTTGAAAGCACAGAGTTGTATTTCTGTCAGTTCTTCCACCACACAAGGTTCAAGGATTGAGAAACCTGCATCCCAACATGGGGCAAGTCCAGGGCACAGGAGGAACATGTGCCATTTAGGTACTTCTCCATGCATGGGGTATTGGAGAGACTGGTGCTGGTGGGGGCTGGCAGTGGTGAGAGGGCCCCTGCACACTGTGTTCACATGGGAGAAGGGGAGCAGCCTCTCTCCAGCACCCCAAGAAACCAGTTGGGGGTTCGCCCTATTTAGGGAAGAAAGATCAACAAGCTTTGCAAGGTGAGATAAGCATTTCACCCAGCACTCCAACTCCAGGCCACAGCTCACACAGACCTGGTCTGGTTTAAGCTTCCAGGTCTCCATTTCCCCCTGTTTGTCTGTCATCTCTTCCACCTGCCACTCTTCCAATTTAGAATGGAGGTCTATCTTTGGAAATGAGGGCTTTGGGCTTGTCTGAAATCCACTGTCAGCGTAACTCTGGGGACAGACCATCTGGAACACTAACAGCAAGAGGCTCTGAAGGAAAACTCCTCCTCTGCCTCTTCCGGTCGTACCTGGGGCTGCCAAAAATGTGCCCAGAGCAGTGTGATCAGATACCTATTCCTCCAGGCTTTTCTTTTCTGATGTGGGCTTTACACCTTCCTGGGGGAGGGGGGCTTGAGGCATTCAGTGGTCTGAGAAAGAGCACACCACAGGCACCGCTCTTGCCAGCATTTTGAGAGGGTGTCTTAAGCATCTCCCACAGACTGAGATAGGAACATTTTGGGACAGGAGCTGTCTGAAGAGCACAGAAGACCCTTTATTAACTGCTGAAACTCCCTTGTAAAAGGGTGGTTTAGAGTTCTGCTTATGACTTCATCTCTGAGAGGTTTGGACAGCAAATGCAGAGTCTAATCTTAAAAAAAAAAAAAAAAAAAAAAAAAAAGAAGAAAGAAAAGTGGCTGGAGATGCGTAAAGCTAGGGTGGAGAAGCTTGGCTCGGGAGGCTGCCGATGTAAGGCTGCCTGTGAATTCTCATCAGCAGAGGAAGTTTGGAGCCAGCACCAATATATTCTTTTATTGCAACCTCCACTGGGACTGGGGAGGCAAAGGGAAAAAAAAAGGATTTTGGTCCCAGTCGCTTTCCCCCATTTCAGTCGGCTTCGGGAGCCGGGGTAGAGGCATTCTCTTCCCAGTTAATTGTTTAATTGGGGAACAATGCACCCTGTGCACCCTCTCCGGAGGGCTGGTGCCTGTCCCGCCGCACCGGGCTGCGGGTCCCGCTGCGGGTCTGGGGTGCGGGGAGCGCCCCGAGGGGGCCGAGAGGGGGGCCCCGCTCGGCGCAGGCGGGCGCTGGGGGCTCTCCTGCGCCCAGCAGCTGCGGGAGCTTTGGAAATTGCAGGGAGGCTCTCGCAGAGCTTGTGAACCCTCCTCTCCCCGAGCCAGCGCCCCTCCTCTGCAGCGCTGACGGTACAACGCTATAATAATGATGGGTGGCTGAGGCTCGCATTTGAACTTGCAGGCGAGCTCCCTTTGCCCACAGCTCGGTCCCGGCTCCGAAGCCCGGAGTCAGGTGCTTGCCGGCGGGAGGGGAGGGAAGGAGGGGAGACCGAGCTCTGGGAGAAGGGGAGACCCCGGATCCACCGGTTCCTTCCAGCACTAACGAGGGGATTTACTCTTTCATGCGGCCACTGGGATCTCTGGACTAGCCCAGCCACCACGCTGTGATTTTTTGCGATCTCTGCAATACGCTACCTTTTAAGGTAACTATAACTCTTTTATTACGGGTTGGTTTTTTGTACTTTTTTCCCCCCTTTTTCCCTCCCGTTTTCTTTACCTATGTTTGGCAGCAAACACCTAGTGTGAGATTTATAACAATTGTTTTACTGCTGTACCAACAAAGAGTTTGAACTGCAAATCTTAAACGGGAGGGAATAAGCGATGATTGGTGAATTTAAACAACCTGGGGTAAGTTCAACGACACGCAAGAGGGAGAGGAGAAGGAGGGATGCTCGGGGACTCAGACACACACACACACACACACACACACACACACACACAAATATCCAGTGCAAAGAGGAGAACAAAGAAAACTAAGGAATAGAAGACTTTGGGGTGGGAGCCCTTGCAGAAGTGTTTCGTACTGGTAGTTTGGACGGCTGGGAAGGCAGAGCCGCACCTTGGGCTAGGGAGGGAGACAGGAGGAAGCTGCTCCGTACGGATGTTAAGTACACAAAGCGCCCGTGTGGTAGGAGCTACCAGAACGGACCTTTCCCTTCAGCCACCGGCTTTTCTAGAGCTGGGAGAAGCATGTGCTCGGTCTCCTACGCTCTTGTGTGCCCCCCTCATTTTTAATTTTTTTTTTTAAATCCTCTTTTAATCTCTTCCCCTGATGTTCCTGGAAAGCTGCTCGCAGAGGAGAGCGGGGCTTAGGTGCTCAGCATCTCTCTCCCGAGGAGCTGGAGAGCAGCATATCCCCCTGAGCCACATTTTCACTGCGGAAAGGGGGGCGGTGGGTGAGGAGGAGGAGGAGGAGGAGGAGGATCGCGAGGTCAGTGGAGCAAAACGCCCCTCTTAGTCCCGCGTCCAGCTTCTCTGGGGCACGGGCACTGCCTTCCCCCTCCGCTCCCGGGGATCTCGCCTTTGTGTTACAAAGGAGAAGTGGGTGCATCGTGGAGGGAATTGAGGGAGTTCGGACGGCGGGAAGGAGCGGGCGAGCGTGTGTGTGCGGAGAGACGGGACCCTCGGCATCTCCCCCGGCCTCCGACCCCGTCCCCACACAAAGGGCGGCCCCGGCCCTCATTGTCCCCCTGGTCACGTTTTCCCGGCCACCCCCTCTCCCTCCCTCCCTCCCGGCACTGGCTCTCGGGATTAAGCCCCGATGGTTTTTTTTTTTTTCCTTTTTTTTCCC